AAACCAATACACACTTCCGAGCTAGACCCGAGAAAATCATAAACTATAGGACATTTGTACACGGGCCAGACACGTTTTTCAAGCAAATAGTCCCGATGAGAAAAGCAAAAGCAGGAGGGGTCAATTCTGCAAATGCTACTGAATGTGGTTTTTGCGATGAACCTTTTGGAAGTGATAACGTTAGAGTAAGGGATCACTGACTTTCGACCAATAATCAGAGAAATGGAGTCTAGTGACGTCTAGAGGGGCGCACAATGACTTTTTTGTAATTCCAATTTTTTTTGACGAAGCAATTGATGCAACAACTTTTTGTATCGTGAGGTGAGGAACCACTTTATTGAATGTCCAGTTGCACAGAAACTATGGTTATATAACGTGAGAAATTTCGAACTATTGATTGAATGCCGCTGGAATACAGAACCAGCTTCATTGGAACATTTTTTGAATTGACTCGGCCGTTACTTGATGGAAATCCATGATCAATGTAAAAACTTCACAAACGATAAGATTTCCACAAAATTTATCAAAAAAATGTATTTGATATCAACTCTTTCAAGTTAATCCGGTATACCGTAATTTAATGTAGATATTGTGCCTAATTTCCGAAAATGAAGGTTTATCGTACCTGTCCACAGGTAACTAATCCTTCAGTTTGGGAAGGTAAGATATATAAAAGTTAAGCAAGCCAACGTTAGTTTAGTTCATTGTACCAGTATATCACCTGACGAAGCTACTGTGTTAGCGAAACATGTCGTGTGTTTGATAAATTTTGTGGAAATCTTATCGTTTGTGAAGTTTTTACATTCATTGGAACACATAGACATGCGAAAGAAAGGGTGAAATGAATTTCAACTATTACCTCTAGTTTGTGTCACGAATGGAAATTTTAACTTTGAGAATGGATATGGACGATTACAATAAATACAAATTATTGACCCAATGCATCCAAGCGTTATTGATAATTTTCAACAGGTAAAGAAACGGTGACGTTCAGTTCTTGAGAATCGAAAACTACAAGAGTGCTAAAAAGAGCAATAATACAGATTTTTAGTGTGTTTTTTCTGAAACTGAAAAAGTTTCGATAAAGAAATACAAAAGAGTCCTCAATAGTGGCAAAGGATCCAGAGCCGATGCTATATTGATTCTTGGAACGTTACAACACTTCATTGATGTACTCCTGGAGCAACGATTCAAATATATTCCTGCAGACAACGATTATATATTCGAAATTTCTGGAAGTACCATCAATTGGGGAAGTTGGAATTTTGCTATTCGAACACTCGCGGATCGAACGAAACTGGAAAATTCACATTCAATTTCGAGTGATAGATTGAGAAAGGAAATTGCAACTGTTATGCAGATACTCAATCTATCTCAAGATGAGACCAAACAATTCTCGCATTTTATGGAACACACACAAAGAACTTTTGATGAGTTTCATGAGTATACAGATGACGTCCGAACGAAATGGCTGCTGCCTAGTTATCATAAGGGGGCACTGATTCGAGTGGAACACTCGTGTTGAATAATGAATTATATAATTTTCAATTGATTCGCTAAGAATGAATAATTGTGAAGCTGTTCGGGCCGATAAAAGTGCTTCTTTTTCTCCTCCTCCCTGCATACCGTGTTCGAGTTTCAAGATATTGTTTCCTTATCTCTACCATGTTTTGTACCCATATAGAAACAACGCAGCGAAATCATACTTATCCATGTACGATAATCCTGTGATTATTGTTGAATGCCTCTCAAATTAGACTGTCCATTCATTGAAATAAATTCAATCACAATCAAGCAAATACATAACAACATCAGTATTCATTTTAATAATGAAGTGTTAGAACTGCTTTTGGTTCAAGCACAGAAGTTCGAAGAAGCAGGTAGGAGTTGTATATATAATTATATAATATTCAATACAATTTTCATTTAGAATAATATGGATAAGAAAAGAACACAAGGTATATCGAAACACCATGAAAATAGAATAAAACAATCGAGAGTCTAATGGTATTCGGAGGTCCTGAATATAGGTATCAGATACATCTGAACTATTCCTTCCATCTGATTCTGATGGTGAGATAGTGAGACACCTAATTCGTATGGAATTGGAAGAGTCTGATATGAATAATAGTCAAAAATATCAACGTTGCAGTCCTGAGAGACATGTATAAACAATTATTGATAATGATATCGAGTATGTTGTTGAATCAGAGAACCGCAGAATTGCTGATTTGAATGATCTGAAACTTTTAGGAGAGAGCAAAAGTACATCACATCATAACATTCAAGATCTATCATCTGATTGGGCAATTTCTAATAAAATCCCCCTCAATGCAGTTACTTGTTTGTTCTGTATTCTGAAAACAGTGCCAGCATTGAAAGACTTTCCAGCTGAAACTCGCACTCTCTTGCATTGCATCCGACAACTTTCGTCCCTGAGAAAATGTTATCATTCTGGTTTACAGAAATCTGTCTTGAAATTATTGCATGAGAGTGGTAGTGAAATATTTGTCAACATCGATGGGCTACCATTGGCAAGAAGTTCTGGCAGCCAGATTCATCCAATATTCTGTAATTTGTATTTGAACCCAAAAAGATAGAAGTTACTAGCATATTATACCATGGTTCTGGGTATCCGAAATTTGCCAATGAATTCTTGAGTGTTTTCATAGATGAAGCAGTTTGAATAGTGGTGTTTTATATAATGATCATATGTATCCTTCCAAAATGAGACCATTTATTTGTGATGCACCTGCAAGAAGTTTCATCACTTACACCACTTGCCATTTGGGCTATTATAGACCTGTTCAAAATGTGATCTCAAAGCACAATATCCTGACAATAGAATCCATTTCCTGGATACAAACAATTCACCAAAAAGAACTGATGCAGGATTGATATGATATCTGGTGTTGGACTATATTTGTTTGGGCATTGTTGGAAAAGTACTTTATCTGTGGTGTTTTGATATAGAATATGGCAGTAAACTATCATGAAGGAAACTATTAAGAATTTCACAATTCCTGGAAAGAAAAAACGTGTCCAGAGAATTTTCAAGGAAATCTAAGTCACTGTATGAAGTAAAACGTTGGAGAGCAATTGAATTTCGACATTTTTCGTTCTTCGCTGGCGCTCTGGTTGACTTTAATTTCACCACCAGATAATTACAAAAGTTTCATGTCATTCTTTGTGGAAACGGTTATTCCAGCAATTTCCGAATTAATTTTCAACAAGGATAATGATTATGCCATGTTGAAGGGATAGTTCCAAGAGTTTATGTGGACCTCAAAATGTATCTAACAAAATGATCATAATCTCCGACACCGAAAACCCCCAAATACCAATTTTGAATAGAATTGGTCGATAATTACAAAACTCGTCCGCCATATTGAAACCGCCATCTTGAATTTCCCAATTTTGACGAAAGATTCTGAATCTGTGACTCGAAAATCCCAGATACCAATTTTGAATACAATTGGTCTCTAATTTCGAAACTTGTCCTTCCATATTGGATTCGCCATCTTGGATTTCCAAATTTTGAAGGAATAACTCCGAAAACCCGAAAACCCCCTAGATACCAATTTTGAACAGAATCGAATCATATTTGAACAACTCGTCTGCCATATTGTATCCGCCATTCTGAATCTCCTCATTTTGACGAAGAAATTATAATATCCGACCCCGAAAACCCTCAGATGCCAATTTTGAATAGAAACGGATTACAAAACTCGTCTGCCATATTGGATATCCGCCATCTTGAATTTTCAATTTGAAAAATCGTTCACGACTGATTCTCAGACCTACCAAATATGCACAAAAATCTTCATAAGAATCGGCCAAGCCGTTCGGAGGAGTTTGGCGTCAAACACCGTGACAGGGACAGGAGAATTTTATATATTAGATTAATATTATCGATCAACAGTCAGTTATGCAGTACACTCGATAGACTATAAAAAGAAAAAAAAGCGCAATTATTTACAAAAAATCGCAATAACGCAAAACGAAGTTGAAAAGCGCCTTATTGGCAACACTGTTCCCCAGACCCAGAAAGAAGAAATGAATTAAAAAGAACTGTAATGTTTGTATTAGTTCTTGAAGGAGCGCAGCACGGTAGTTTCACTGTGTAGCCCTCTGTAAGACAATAGCTGTACTACTTTGCCACTGTCGAAACCTCGCTAACAATATGGCGATATTGAAAATAGATGCAGAAACGTCAGAATTAATTTTACGCACAATACATTCCCAAACGACAATGTTCCAGAAGCTGATTATTTCATCAAAAATTTATTGAATTGCTAACTTAGGGTATGCCAGGTTTTTATTCGATTCTGTTACAGAAACTATGTCAATGTTATTGTTCTTCATTACCATATATTTTTTTACACAAATCGAATTTCGCTGAAAAATTCCTTCATACTCTTTTCTCAACCTTCGTCTTTAAAATGTCCCAACCACATTTGCGCTTACACTTGTAGTTTATTAATGATTAGGTACCAAACTGACCTCTGCATGGCAGTTTTGACTGATGCGCCCTCTAAAAGAAATCAAATATCAATAATCATTAACCAGCCATATCCGAATATTACCTATTTTTCATGGCCATATTTAATTTTTCAAAGAAAATCGTTTTTCCTAGAGGCAAATATGACTTGTGATATTTATATTGTTTAGAAACAAGTTTAAATTCTGATCGTATGGTGAAACAATTCACCAAAAATTATAACATGTGGTTTGCCCCTTTTTTGTTTCTTGAGAATAGAGCCCAGAACGCCAAGATATGTTATTGTCTATCACTTTAGTTTCCAAGAAATCCCCGAATAGAATACCATCGTATTTGGCCCACCCTGAACATAGAAAGTATGACCCCTGGCATATTCTTGTTAGTGAAGTTCCTCACAGCTAATGATAAGGCTAAAATTCCTGCAATTTGAATCTAGTATAACATCAATATTAATATCCCTAATACACACATATACTAAATAAATTATTTTTCTATTCAGTATCCATCAATGATGAGGAATCACTTGAAATGGACAAAATCATTATGCCTCCTCCAACCACAACAAAAGTGTTTAGGAAACAAAATCAGTCTGGTGATAATAATAGATATGATGGTGAGTCCTGCATTTAGAATGACTAATTTTTTTCCAGTTTTAGGTGGGCTTGAATAATAAATTAAATACTTTCTTTAGTATTGCAGCTGAATGCTATCTCATTTTCAACTTCAACCTCCTGTATATTGAGAAGTATCCTATGACCAATGTTTTTTAGAACTTTTTTCAGCAGCTCCTCTGAGTATTGAATTGATATGGTAATAATTTGAATTGTCAGAAATCGATATCACCAGACTGGAAAAAAATGCATAATTGTATAAATATTTTTTTGTTCTATATTTTCAGAATAAAGCTATGCTGATTACATTTCAGATTGTCCACGTTAAGAGACTGAATGAAAATGTGGTCATATTGAGGACACTGTTGGATGAACATACTAATAATTTATCAAAACTCATTTTGCCACAAGCAGCAGGGCCAGTGACTAACATAGATTCATTTGATACAGTTCCTCAGAACACATTCAACAAACATGAACAACTAATGAAGTATGGAAATTTTTCACGAAATTCAGAGACAGCTAGGAAGCAGTTGGTTAGTTGGATGTTCGACATGATTTTCATTTTTAATCTAAATTCTTCTTCCCCTGTTAACTTTTCATCCAAATGAGAATAAATAAATAAGAACAATTCTGAAGCAAATCACATGAAGCATAGTTGTGGATCAAAGCAATTGTTATACATTTCAAATGAACAGGGATATCAAATGATACTTCATTCGATAGGTATTTCAATTCTCTATTCAACTTATTATTTTTCCTTCACCTTGTTCAAATTTTAACATGAGAGAAGGAAACTTCAGACATGCACTATCATATAATTTTAATACATTTTCAGGAAACTCTGTTTTTCATTGGTGGAGGCAGTTGCGCTAAAGATTTAATAAGAGGAGGGCTAATGCGAATTTCTTCCAACAAATTAGCTAAAAAGTTTTTTTGGTATGGAAGGAAAAATAACTATCCCCTGAATAACCTGATAGTTATATCAACCCTGAAAGGTGGGTCTTCAATTGTTAAAGTATGAAATATGGGTTCTCCCTTTCAATCAGATAAAAGTTAATAGAAACATATACCTTTTTATGCTCATTTTTGATATTTAAATACTGCCTTTATCTAATGGCACTTTGTTTTCAAAAAACACTGAGTAAAAATAGTGTATTATACACCTAGAGTGATAAGTGAGCTATTATACAGTATGTCTCACTAACTTGGAAATATTTGGAAAAGATTTTTATAATTCATTTTAGGAAAAAGATTAAGCATTCATAAAAAGTTCAGCATGTTATGAAATTTGAAATACGATTATCAGATATCAATTTTTCAGTCGTATACACGGTGTGTCGAATATAAAGGTACTTTACTCTTTTGATTACAATTCACATGCATTTTTGACAGACTGCGGATATGACTGGGAGAATTTAATATCTGATGATTGTATCTTAGTTTTTAGAACATGCTGAATTTTTATGAAAAATAACTTTCTCCGAAAGTGAATAATAAAAAAGTTGTTTTCTCTCACTATGTTGGAACCACATGGAAAACAACTTTTTCATTATTCATATTATAAAAAAATATATTCTTCATAAAAAGTTCTGCATGTTCAAAAATCCTAACTACAAACATCATATATCAAATTTTTTCAGTCATATACGTCAACATATTTCTTCCATTTACATTGTGATATGAATCATTTTCACTTGAATGTAAAATGCAAAGTAGGCTGGTATATGACAGCTGGCTGTTTTGACAGCTCATGAATGATCTGTCTCAATTTTATTAGTTTGAATTTGAAGTATTCTTGATCAACTCCAATATTTCCATATACCTGAAATGAATTCATGGGCGTTTCATTACGTTTTTGGCTTAGAATTAGGTATGGGTCATCTTTCATTATTCACCTAGGTCAAAAAGTGTTATTTATCTTCTCATCGAAGTAAATGCTCAAATAATGATGATCACTCAGGAGACAAATTTCTAGAACCAACCCCCATATGTGAATGTAACCATAAGTATCCAGTTTGCAGCAAGCTGACCTTGATATGATAGGTACTCATATTTTGTAGCTCAGTGAAGCATTTCCATTTCAGGGTGATTTTGCTTATATGATATACCTATATTATTGGAATAGATATTAAAAAATCTACCTATACCTATACTGAGTATATAAATATTATGAATACCAGTGTGAATATCATTGACTCCTTCATTTTTGTTACAGGTGGAGAAACAATTATCGTTCTACCTAGCAGTTCCCGAAAAAGGGAGAATGAAAACAATTCTAAAGGTACCATACTAAGAAAAAGAATTAGAATCTCACAAGATATTTCAATTTGTAATTTACCAACAACTGTGAAGCCTCCACTCCAGTCACCAGTAGAAAAGTTCTCTCTAGTCACTCAAGAGTCACTCAAGAGCAAAATGGAGATTCTTCAGAGGAAGAACAAGATATTGAAATGAGAATCACAAAAAACTAATTATCTATCAGGAGAAGACTTCCTCAGACTTGGGGATAAGTTTATCACCCCTGAAATGGCACAATTCATCAGGTCACAAGTATGTTTGAACAATACCAATAAATTTGGCAGAAGGTATACTGATAAATTCTATTTTTTTGAAAAAAACATTTTCTCTACCTTCTACAAGGTCACTTTGCTTTTTTATTGAAAAAATCAAAATTCACTGCAGGTTTCAACAAAGTTGTTCTTGCCATTTTGAAAATAAAGGTGCATTGGCGAAATGTCTATCAAGACAAAATTATTTTATAATCATGCATTTGATCAAGTATAAGAGAAAATGGAAACAGTCTATGGCCTATGATTTATCTTCCACAACATACAGTATGTGATATAGTGCCAATGACATCAAAGGTTAATTAAATAATTTGCAAGAACTAGGCAACTCTGGTTTGAAAGTTGTTGGACTTGTCAGTGATATGGGGTCGAATTGTTTTGGACTTGGCGAATAAATTGGGTGGACAACAAACTTTCTGGTTTCTTGATGCCTGTTATTTGATCTCAGCAGCAAGAAACAATCTCTTCATGAATGAGTTAACTTGGGAAGATAAGTCTACCTCTTGGAAGTATGTTGAACATTTCAATGAGAAAGATAAATGTATGATAAATAGGTTAGTAACAAAGTTGACTGATTCTCATATTAGACCATCAAACTTTCAGAGAATGAAGGTCAAATTAGCAACCCAAGCAATAAGTGATACTGTTGCTGCCTCCCTTGAAACATACATTCAGTTAAATGAATTACCAAGAACAACTTTGGCTATAGTGTAATTTATTAAAAAATTTTGATATATTCAATTTATAGGAATTATATCGTCAGAACTAACATCTTAGGGTCGAAATTTATCAGTTGAAAGTTTTCAATCGAATGATTCACTTTTTGAAAGGTCTCGAAGTTAACAAAAAATTCAATGAGTGAATGTGAAATTCATTCATTGTTGGATAGTTTTCATTAATTCATTGATTGCATTATGGTAAATACTGCAGAGTGAGGGCTTTGAATTTCATTCAACCAGGAAGTTGACCCAAGATTCATTGGAGAACTTTTTTGGAAGTATCAGACAGCAAAATGGGAATGCAATAAATCTCAAACCAATTCGGTTCTGAAGCTTTCAGAAAATTGTTCATTTCAAACTACATTCATTCAAAATCTATGAATTGTGACGAAGATTTGGGCGTTATTTTGACCAGTCTATCATATTGGAAAAATTGGAACCAAGAGTTGAATGAAAATGAAAGGATACCAGGTAACAGCCAAACAGTAGTGGATGATTTCATCATTGAAAATTGTGATTACCATGACAAACCTTTGCCTGAACAGAATGCTTCCAAATATGTTGTTGGATATTTGGTTGAAAAATGTCTGAAAATCCATTATTGTCCCACTTTTTCGAAAGACAATGATGAATTGAATGAGTCTAATTCACATAATGTACATTTCAAATCATATGATAAACACAAGAGTAGAATTGAGAACTCCTCACGAAAATGCTTATCAGCATGTTCATGAATTAGAGAAAATATTTTTCGAATATATCGAAAATGTTATTACAAATCGTCCTGCCACTAGTATATATGACATGTATTAAACTATCGAGCAATTCAACCATCCCTGTGAAAACTTCCCACATACATATCACTATAAATTATTTCTACGACTTAGAATTTATTAGGTTACGATTTTTACGAAGAACAGCAATGCTCGTTTCGAAACTGTAGCTAAAAAGAACAAAAAATTGACCATTTTGGTGAATTTATAATAATTCTGTGTTCAAATACTAAATGATACACAAAGTCATCTCCACCATATTGGACATGACATTGTGTATCATTTGGTATCTTATACTGAACTCCACTTTGAGAACCCATGGACTACTACCAAAGATTAATTTTGTGTTTGTCGGAACCTGTTTGTAGCATTATGGAATTGGGTCTAAGGTAAGTTCAGTGTATATTTCTCATTTCTATTTCATTAGGTATATGAAGACATTCAATGCAAATTATTATTTGTAAATCATACAGGGTGATTCATTAAGAATGGGAAATCTCTGAACTAAGGTACCTGTGGGTAATAACGCCCAGTGGATAATAACGCCCAGTGGATAATAACGCCCAGTGGATAATAACGCCCACTTTCAAATTTTCCGCCATATTGGCGGCTGCGTCAGTACATACGGTGTACAAGAAACGCCAGACACACCAACACATTTGGCGCGCTATTAGTTCATTCTCAGCAAGCGGAGAGACTTGACGGGTGTGTGTTTCATGCTATTTCATTGAATTCAACCATAAAGAAAACGTGGTTACATGAACATTCATTGATTTATTTGTAAAATATCCACATACAGTCTTGCATACACATCTGAATATTGATTGCTGGTAGCAGAATTACATTTACAACTGTATTTTTTATGTTAAAATCTTTGTTAACTTGGTAGTGTGGCAAATGACGCACATTTTTTCCCAGTGGGCGTCAATAAACGCATCATTGGACGTTTATATACGTTTGGGCGTATTTAGGCTAATGCGTACAACTGCATACCAACTTTCGTTTTCGTTTTAGGAACTTGAACATCTGGGAGTGTGATCAAAATAATAGGTGAAAAAGCTACATCAAGTAAAGATCAATAGAAATACCTTGGTAGACGAGTTATACGATAGGCTGAAATTGGAGTTCCTTCAACCATGAAGATGTTGAGACACAATATATTGAAGTTCTGCAAGTTGAATAATATTAGACACAACTTTAATGAACAAAGACAAATGGCTGGTAGGGATTGGGTACGAGCGTTTTTGAAAATAAATCCACAAATTTCAAAGAGATAAGCTCAGTTTATGAATCAGGCAAGAGCGCAAAAACTCAAAGAGTTTATTATAGTCGACGATCATTTTCAAGAAGTTGGCAAGTTACTAGACAACTTGGATTTGAGGCAAAATCCTGCTAAAATCTTCAATATGGATGAGAAATGATATCAGCTCACTCTTCATCATCAACCCACAATTTTAGCAAAGAAAGGTGTAAAACGAGTGCATATGATTGCTGACGAACATGCAGAATGCGTTACTGTAGTTGGATGTGTATCTGCTATTGGCACTGCGATACCGCCTATGATTATTTCCAGAGGTGAAAGACTCAAGCCCGAATTCGCAGATAATTTGCCTCCAGGAAGCATCGTCAGAATGGCACCAAAGGGATTTATGAATAAGGACCTTTTCGTTGACTTCATCAAACATTTGGCTAAGTTCGAGCCCCCCCTGGAATTGGACTACAATTATTGCATTGGAAACCAGAATCTGAAAAATGTTCCAAATATTAAGGATCTAGGGGTACACTTGGACAAAAAACTCTGTTTTGACATACACATTGAACATATCGTTAAGAAAGCTTTGCGGAATTTGGGTTTTATAATGAGGGTAACTAGGCAATTTCGATCTCAAAAATGTTTGATATTACTGTACAACTGTCTTGTTCGCTCTCATCTCGAATATGCATCAATAATTTGGAATCCACATTATGTAAAATATATTGAGAGAGTTGAGAGAGTTCAAATCAAATTTATTAAGTACTTAAATTTTAGATTCAACAGAATGAATCATTACAATTCGTACGACTACAATATTGTAGAATATAATATGTTTAAACTATCTTCTAGAAGAACTGTTAGCTTCATAATTTTCTTGCAAAAACTGGTGTCTGGTTTCATTAACTGTCCAAGTATCTTGGGTAAATTGAATTTCAATGTTGGAAGACGTTCCTTACGATCTCCGAATCTGTTTTATCCTCAAAGATATAGAACGAATGCGTCAGAGAACTCTCCAATAACTGCTATACAGAGGTTGTATGATCTGTTTTTTTGTCATATTGATATATTTCATGGATCACTTTCAGTAGTTAAACATGCTGCTTATTCAGTATTCAGGTGATATTCATATCCACATATCATGACTCAAATTATAAGCATGTCATTAGTATTATTAATGTTATTATCATTATTATTATTATTATTATTATTTTTATTATTATTATTAATCATTATTATTATTATTATTATTATTATCATTATTTTTTTGAGTTCATATGATTCCAGTCACGACCCTGCGGCCTCCGACGTCACGCAGAGTCGTGCTGGATAAAATCCAGTGACTACTCCTCACAGCCTGTGAGGTGAGTAATCACTGGGACCAAGTACCGTGTGCCCTGAGTAGACGCAATGATCCTAGTATGACGGCCTTCTGCATTCCACCAGCCAGGATGTGTGCCTTATCACGGCACGCTGGGATTTTCTGGATCTCCGAGAGCAGCGTGTGTCGTGTGCCTCCTAGGGAGCCGATAATCAGGATGACCAATTCCACAGAATGGTCTGGATAGAGCCGGCGGAGTTCGAAGAGGAGATCTCGATATTTAGTCCGTTTTTCCTCCTCCTTCAAAACGATGTTCGGTTCGGCTGGCGCCGAAAACTCGATCACGAACATCGCTTTGGTTTGATGGTCGAGGAGGACTACATCAGGCTTGTTAGCTTGTATCTGCCTGAGGGTGGGGAATGAAAAGTTCCAATAAATTCGGCACCTCTCATTCTCCACAACGGACTCAATATCCCCCGGAGCATAGGGCAGCACTGGGGTCTCGTCTATGCCGTACGAGTGCCTCAAATAGTAGTAGATCACTCGCAATGCCGCATTGTGTCTATGGATATAGGCCGAGACTGCATACACCGTGCAAGACGACAGCAGGTGCATAATTGTCTCGGGCGCCCTGCGGCAGGCCCTGCAACTTGTGTCAGGGACCTCCATACCCATGACACGGCTACGGTAGACGAGAGTGTTAAAAACCCCATCCTGGCATGCCATGATGAACCCCTCTGTTTCCGATTTGAGCCCGCCTGACTTCAGAAAAGCAAAAGTCAGTTCTTTGGATAAGCCCCGGTCTTCAATGGTCTTGAAGTA